CCAGAGAAATAGACACTAAAAATGGATGCATTTTATTATAGATATAGTAGATTTTTATTTTTTATTTTATTTTATTTATTTTATTTTTTTATTTTTTATTTTTATTTTGGTCTTTTGTCTTTTTCCGTGTCCGGCAACGGATCGCAACCCTCAGTGTTGCCCCTGTACCGGACCGGGGACCGGCAACGGGATCGCAACCCTCGGTGTTGCTCCCGCGCCTCGCTCAGCCAGTGAGCGGGAACCGGTCTGTACGTGGGATCCGAACCCTTGGGCGGGAGCGCCGCCACGCTTCCCAAGCGGCGCACTATCCAGTGCGCCACTGGGCCGGCCCAGATTTTTATTTTTTAAAATTTGTTTTTATTTATTTATTTTGGCCATTGGCTGGTACGGGGATCTTAACCCTTGACCTTGGTGTTAAAGTTGATTTTTATTTATTTATTTTGGCCATTGGCTGGTACGGGGATCTTAACCCTTGACCTTGGTGTTAAAGTTGATTTTTATTTATTTATTTTTATTTATTTATTTATTTATTTTTAAAAAGATGACCGGTAAGGGGATCTTAACCCTTCACTTGGTGTTGTCAGCACCACGCTCAGACAGCGAGCTAACCGGCCATCCCTATATGGGATCCGAACCCGGGGCCTTGGGTGTTATCAGCACTGCACTCTCCCGAGTGAGCCACGGGCCGGCCCTAAAGTTGATTTTTAAAAGAGCACATACAGAAAAGAAAACATGATTGTGGACTGATTGATCAATAATCATATAAATATATATTAAATCCCGTTCCATTTAAACTACAATGAGGTACCATTTTATACCCACCATATAGGCAAACATATAAAAAGTCTGACAATACCAAGAATTCATATAGAAATATATGAAGCAAAACTCTAAAGAAAAGCAGGAACAAGACAAACACAAAATTCAGGAGAGTGGTTTTCTTTCAGAGTGAGGGAGAGAGGTGGAATCAGAAGGGGCAAAAAGTGTGTTCCAAAGTTATCAACAATGTCACTTTTCTTAAACTAGGTGGCGGGTGTATGGGTGTTCAATTTATTAACAATCTCTAAACCACACATATACTTTAGATGTACTAATTTATATGCAGAGCTATTTTATAATAAAAAATTCTAACAAAAATTTAAAAGGCAAATATTGTCACATTGGGCTAAACACTATAATCCAGCCACATGCCTCATAAAAAAGGGCAACCTAAAACCAAAATAATATAAAAAGGTTAAAAATAAAGGGATGGGCAAAGTTGGATCAGACAAACACAAACAACAACAAAAAAAGACACAAGTAGCAATGACAATGTAAGATAAATTAGAACTCAAAGCAAAAAGCCTAAATAGCCTGGAGTGTCATTTTATGTCATCGTTACATGTAATCATGATAGAAATACTATCAGCCATGAACCTTTATGAGCTAAATAGCATAGCCTCAAAATATACAAAGTAAATAATATTAGAAATAATAAAAATGACTAAAGCATTATTTTTAAATTTTATTTTAAAATTTCATTGTAAAATTTGGGTATACAGTTCCGTGAATTTTGACAAATGCATAAAGTCATGTAATCACAACCACAATCAAAATGCAGAACAGTTCCATGACCCTCAGAAATGCCTTCACGCTGCCCCTTTGTAGTCACATGCTACCCTCACCCCCAAACCCTGGAAACCCCTTGATCCATAAAGTCATGTAATCACAACCACAATCAAAATGCAGAACAGTTCCATGACCCTCAGAAATGCCCTCACGCTGCCCCTTTGTAGTCACATGCTACCCTCACCCCCAAACCCTGGAAACCCCTTGATCTATTCCCTATCCCTATGGTTTTGTCTTTTCCAGAATGTCAAATAAATGGAATCATACAGTCCTTCGAGTCTGGCTCTTTTTACTCAACAAAATGCCTCAGGGAATCTCCCAAGTGTTGTATGTATCAATAGTTCACTCTATTTTATTACTCAGTAGCATTTAATTGTATGGATATATCACAATTTGCCTGAGTGCTTCCAGTTGGGGGGGGGTATGAATAATGTTGCTATAAACATTTATGTACAAGATTTTGTATGAACATAAGTTTTCACTTCTCTTGGGTAAACACCTAGGGACTGCTGGGTCACATATAAGTATGTGTTTAAGTTTATAGAAAACTGTCCACCTTTTCCAAAATGGCTATCCCATTTTAGTTCCCAAACGTAAGGAATGAAGCAAAGCTCCTCTTCCTCCGCATCCTCGTCAGCATTGGGTATTTGAAACATAATCTTAACACATCCCTATCAGGCAGTGACAGTGTACACACTTCCAATCAAGGACAAACAAAATACAGCTTTGGACAATGTAATTACAACGAAAGTAAGGCTAATTAATAAATATTTCATATCATATTTTTACATGATAGTGAAAACATTTTCACCTCAAGAATCTGTGGATCATTTATGAAAATGATCATATGACAATGGTCGCAACGAAAACTTGAACACATTTTCCAAATAGAAACTGCAACACAATGTAGTAAATGTTGAAATAACAAAAAGTTTGGGCCGGCCCGTGGCTCACTCGGGAGAGTGTGGTGCTGACAACACTAAGGCCGTGGGTTCGGACCCTATATAGGGATGGCCGGTT